ATAATAACCCTGGGGCCAAGTAACAAATCGTGAGTAATACAAAATGTTGGATACCGGAGAAATGCATGTTGAAAAATGATGCAGTGCAAGATAAAAACAAGGCACTGCTTATGGGGGAACACTGAGTGAAGCCTGCTGGGATTCTGCTAGAATTTAAGCCTATTCTCCAAACACACACACGCACATTGCTTTTGTACCGTATGTTCTCATTTATTGCAGTGAGGACTGATCAGACACATAGACTTACAGGATACATATACAGTATATACATGGATAGACGCAAACACACAAACAGATACTGAATATGACAAAAAACTAAAAGTGAAGTTTATACTCACATGTACCATGTGTGCTTCTGTATCTGTTCTAACTGTAAAGAGATGAAAACACATGAGCCAATCCATTATCTAACCATTACCAGAGCCAAACAAAGACAGCAGAGCGTGACAATAAAAGCAATGAATCCATCTCTAAACGTCAGGCAGTTTGCTGCTGGCTGTCTCCCCCCTCTCTCTCTCTCTCTCTCTCTCTCTCTCTCTCTCTCTGTCTCTCTCTGTCTCTCTCTCTCATCCTCTGATCTCCCCGGGTTTAAAGTGTGGAAGCTACAAAGACATGTACATTTCGGCAGCCAGCTAACTAAAGCTGTGGCCCACAAAACAAGAACAACAGCCTTAACAGCTGCAGCCCATCAGAGCGAATGGTTTTTGTACCTGTTCATGTAATACCAACATAAATATCTTTAAGATGAACTGAAATCAGTCTCTATAGTTGTTAGCAACAGCTGTGTGTCTGGTGTGTGTCTTTTGAGGAGCTATAAACATTCAGCACTTGACCTGATCAAGAAACTGTGAGGAATGACACACTGAACTGGAATGTTCAAACAAAATACTTGCTTGCGGCTGAGAGTAAAAATAATTTTACTTTATGGCTCTGAATAGGCTGAGGAGAAAATTCACTGTATAGTTACAGCACTTTTGCACACAGTATTTCGTCATATTCACTAGCCATCTGTAATATCCAGTTTTCAGTGCTCCTTTCTATGTAAATTAGGCTTACTGTAAATATTTTTCACAAAAGTTACCACAATTAATGTCACTTATTAATGTCACAAAGATGGCATTTAAAAAACCCACTAGGGGGCCCAAATTTCCAAAGCCTAATTTTAAAGCTGTGATTTCTTTTTTTGTGCATTTTGTCAGGTTTCTGGTGTGTCTGCCAGCTCAGAAAAGCGGAAAAGAAAACACGCAGCCAGTTTGTTATGGGCTGTCTGAGTCTGAAGCGTTGTCATCCAGCGAGCTGTTTCAATTTGCATCCATTTTCTACGTAGATAGCTAGCTATTTGAATAAGAACACCTCCGAGCCATATACGGAGCCCAAGGCAGCAATTCATGTGTCTGGTGTCGACATTTTATTACTTTATTTATTTGTTTACAAAAGTCAGGAAACCCATTAGCCTACATTTTTTACTTTTTAAAGTCAAAAATATTTAGAACCACTGATTTAAAAGAGATGTTTGCATCTTCTATCGATGATGCCAGCAGTAATTAAAGGGGTCATATGATGTTGCTAAAAAGAACATTATTTTGTGTATTTGGTGTAATGAAATGTGTTTATGCAGTTTAAGGTTCAAAAAACACATTATTTTCCACATACTGTACATTCTGAAACGCGTCGATTTTTACAAAGCTCATCGGTCTGAAAAGCGAGGTGTGCTGTGA